ACATTATGCCAAAACATTTTTATTTTATTTTACTAGAGCGCCGAAGGTGAAGCTAAAACAGAAGAAAAGATGGAAGAAAGTTAAGCTCATGTGTTCATGTACAAGTCTTTAGAAACCTTTTTCTTTGAATATCAATAAACTCTACAAATAACGGCCAAGATAATGAGTGACCGCTGTCAAGCAAATTTTTGAACTTCACTGTAAAACTAACTCTGTATACCGGACAGCTTATCATAGACCTTAACTTTATTTTATGGGATCTTATGTGAGAACTCGTCCACTTTGATGCGTTTTGTAGCGTTTTTCGTATTGCTCACCGTTCTCAAAAAACAATACTTTAAGATTTCTTATGAAATTCTAGAAATTCTTGGGAATTTCCTAGCAATTTTTAGGAATCTCTTCGAATTTTTAGGAATTCTTGGGAATCGTTAGGAACTCTTAGGAATCCTTAGGATTTTTTAGAAATCCTTAGGATTTTTTAGAAATCCTGATGAACGTTTTGAAAAGACGTAACAGGATGACGATCAATAGATTTGTTTTGTTAGTCAAATAAAACTCATTGTTTGGCCATGGTATCATTTTCTTAGTCGTTTGTGTAAGTTTGTGTATCATGTTATAGAGTCGTTTCCGAAGTCGCGCATACGTGCCGTGCCGTATGGTAACCTCTGTTACCATTAAATTTATTCAAATTTGTTGTTACATAATTGTGAAACGCTCGTTATTATCATAAATCATGTTCAGAGTTTTAAGTGTTAACTAAATGCGTCAATAAGATCGTTTAGAGGTGTAAATCGCCTGGGCGGAATAATTTCTYCTCGCTTTAAGCGTGTTACCGTCGTTATATGTGTGTAGTTTAGTTGATATGTGAGTGTTAATGTTAACATGATTTAACGTACTGTTTAAAAGAAATCTTTATCTTAATGGATTTTCGTAACATCGTTAGCATTATATGTCAACATTAGAATCGTTTACGCCTCTGTGTGCGAAACGCGGCCTATCAGCTCCACCTTAAATAAAAAAAGCAGTTTGATTGATATTATTTATTTATTTCTCTTCCTTTTCTTTATTCTTTTTACTTCGTAGTGCAACTAATATCACTGTCGATACGTTAGTTAAATTTCAAATGTTTTTTTCAATGATCAAAGTTATAAATTAAAGAATAGCATTAGCATAATTCAATATAACGTCTACAATGATTAAACACTAATTGAGCGTTTTCATGATCATAGATGAAGGCTGACTTATAACAGTGAAGCTGTACAACTGTACTTTTCGTTTGCTTTTCTTAATTGAAGTTGAAAACTCTTKTTTTAAAAACGTTGAAATAACTAGCCTCTCGTGCCGTTATTGACTTAGCTAATTAGCAACGTATTGATGATATTTTCGATGAATCTCACGAAAACAAGCGCSCATCGTTACGATATACGACAAAAACATAATCCTTAGCGATATTTGAAAAGATGATTTTTGAGGCGACTCCGGCCGACGATTGTGAAGCAGCCTCGGTCATCTCAAACTGATAATTAAAAAAAATGCTGTTGACTTTCATTTTAAATAAGATTGAAATTTTACTATAAAAAAAAGTTTCGATTTAAAAAGTCCACGAACCGAAGTTTGTGTTGAGCATTTCTTTTTGAGTCAGCGTGATATTAAGTTTGCACATCTGCAGGATCAAAGCAATTTTGACAAAAAAAGCGGATGAAAAGTGATTAAACTTTCATGATATGTAAACATAGGAGTAATTTTTCACTGAAAATTAATGAAATTTTGGGAATCCGATGAGAATTGATTGTGTGTTCGGAGTTCCTTACCTGTCTTCATTTCTTCTTTCGTAATACCAACTTACCATGTACACAAAATCGTCACCCAAAATCTCAYTTTTGACAGAAATTTTGATAATTTCATTCAAATTATTATTTTGTTTAAGTCCAGCTAGGTAAAACATTATYTAAAGATTTGAGATATGTGATTTGATATTCAACTAGCTCTTAGAAACAATTAGACCTAACACTTATGGAAATCTCGCACTCGTTTTTATAGTCTTCTGAACTGAATTTAACTTTTTGCCTTTTTCTGATTAAGATGTAAAGTACTTATGTTATTTAAACGGTCACTTAAACGGAAAAGCGAAACGGTTCAGGAAATAATTACCAGCTAACGTCAAGTGTTTCTTGCTCATGTAGGGGCCATCCTCTTTTTTAATGACATTTTTTTCTGTTTAAGCTACAACGGGACGAATTTTATAGGCGACAAGGACTAATTTATATAACGACATTTTTTGCAAATAGATTATGTTTCCGGTTGGATTTCAACAATCTGGTTCGTCATTTGTTAATTCATGGCTTGAATTCGAGTAATAGTTTGTATATAAACAGATGTAATTTTTCAAGAGAAGACACCTTTTCTTGCACGAAATCGCGCAACCAGGTTTCGAAAGAAAATATGGSTATTAATACCCCAATACTTGTGCTCAAATAAACTCAACTATCYAAAATCACATATATGTAAGAATTTTCAGAGAATAACAAGCTTTTAGCACTTTGTTAAACGTTGTAACTTAACCTGTTAAGATTTCTAGCTTGTTGAGTTTGGTCTTCATTGTGACAGTTTTGAAGTTCAGTTTTGTCATACTTTGACAGAACATTGGCTTCACGAAGCGTTTTACATATTTTTTTTTTTTTTAATCTCAAGCCCTTGTTTGGCATTACATTTCCGTTGTGTTTAACCGTTGTCAAAATTATCTAAAAGTTTSTAAGTCCTCTTTATTAGTTCTCTTTTCTCAGTTCTTCTGGACTACTCAACAGAGAAAAAAAAACTGAAATAATTTAAAATGGAATATTATTTCACAAACACTTATCATATTAAAAAACTTAATTAACGCATAACAATGATTTTAGACTGTTGGCGCCCGTTTCATTTGATAATTTTTAAAGTTCTTATGGCCGCGCGAGTGCYAAATTAGTAAACACGTCAATACATCTCACAAAGTATCCAAAAAAACATATCTCTAAAATAAATAATGATCCGTAATGATTAGTGTTTTCTCTGAATTGGTTTAAACCAAACAGCGGTGGTTATATYATAACGAAATMTAATAAAAGGTAGCTTGAGTGCACGTATATAAGCATGCGCAGTAGACCGAGAACAGAAATGAAAATTCGCTCTTTGAGATAGCGACATGAACTCGACTTCTAAACTCGCTGATTGTATGTTTTGGACGAGAGGGCAGTTAAACCCTGATAATTACGATTCAAATATCTTCAAATATATACTAGGTCCAATATGTGTGATTTTAAACTGCGTTTCGTTTCCAATTTCCTCACTTGGAAATCTTCTCGTTTTGATCGCAATGATTAAAACGCCAGTACTTCACACAACTGCGAATATTTTCATTGGTTCTTTGGCGTTTTCAGACTTTCTTATTGGGACAATCATGCAGCCAATGTTGATCACAGTTCTAACGGACAGAAGTTGGTTTTTAAACTGTGCCTTTCAGGACGCATTAACTTTCCTCGGAATACTGTTCACTTCGACTTCGYCATCTCTTATGGCGGCAGTGAGCATCGAAAGGTATATCTGCCTGTTTTTTCATCTACGTTACCACACACTAGTTACTCAAAAGCGATGTTTTGTAGTAGTCATTCTAATTTGGATATATTGGTTCGCCGATACATRGCTATTCTTGCCRGGAGGAAATTACTTCATCGCRGCGCAAATATTCTGTACAATTGCGTGGAGCTTGTCTCCAACTGCCATCGCATTCTGCTACTTTAAAATCCTTGGTCTTGTGCGACACCACCGCAGCCAGATCCAATCACAACAAGTRACAACAASATCTGACCCATCACCGTCGCAAAATAAATCCCAAGCTAAACTAGCTGTGACAATGGGATACGTGATATGGGCGTCTATCGCTTGCTACACACCAACCACGATAGTGACTCAAATGTATATTTTCACTAAAAAACCCAATGGTCACCTTTTTAATAGTTTTTATTTTACTCTTACGATTCAAGTTATGAGCAGTGCTCTAAATCCAATAATATATTGCTGGAGGAGACAAGACATTAGGAATGCTATAAAATCGCTACTAAGAAGAGCTGTAGACATAGACACTGGTTCGCGGACTGGTCCAGTTTCAGCTGGACCAACATTTACTGCAAGAACCATGCAATCTCAGTCGTAAAAACATATAAATAATCAGCGTCCTCACAGAAAACCAGGCCATTCTAAAACTTCTGGCTATCAGTCTTTGCTATCCAAACAAAAAGTTCGAATATTCTATACATAAATCATCAATAGGCTAGCTCTTTCCTCATTAATCACTTAGAAAAACAAGCGTACGGACCTAATGTTTTGTAAAGAAGCTGCGTCTTCATTGTAAATATTTGTWATAGTACATTAAAATACAAAAGGAAGCGTGCTCTTATAGTTGGGGTTCTTTCATAGGAAGCTATAGGAGGTGTTATAGAACTATTAAACGAGAAAACAAAAAAGTTCTACSTTGATTACTTTTGTTGACAAAATACTTTAAAAAGGAAGTGAGCCCACACTAAAGTGATAAGATTTAAGGTTGAAATGAAAAAATAAAAAAACACTTTCTACGACAAATGAGAAGATTTCCCAGATAGCTTTATCAATGTGAAACGTACGGGAAATGACATTTCATTTTAGTGTAAGGATTTTTTTGTGGCATATCAGGATCGACAGTTAATTTCATAAAGTTGGAATACGTTTTTTTCAATTTATTTTTATGTACATATTATGTGGTTATGTCGTGCGAGAGGGACGACGTCGAATAGACTTATGAAAACTACCCTTAATTGACCCGTCATCTCGAACAGCTTTGTAATAAATACAAATATATTCTATAAAGACAATCGTCCGCTCGATCCTTTTTTAAGTCGTTATAAAGATTATAATAATTACATGATATTTTTCTCATTTTATTCACTACTGAAACTATTCGACATCCTGGTAACCTACGTATAGAGCGTTCCCTTCAGTAAAAACTGGTTGAACTCAGACTTTATACGACCAACTTGGCATGCAATTAAAGTTTAAACGTTTCGCTGTYTTTTACAAGCTTGTAATTAACTATTCTCTAGAACATTCTGATATAATTAAAACCTCTTTGACTAAAACGTCCTAATCTAGCAGATAGAAATCTTTTGAATTCACACATAAATTTAACTTTTTTCAGACAGTTTTCACATTTCATGTTACTAGATGAGATCTCATAGTGCTATAGCTTTGGACTACTGTATTGCAGGTATCTTGTCGGGCATCACATTGTTTTAGGTGCATCTCATTAGCATAAAAAGCCTTGCTTTGAATGGGAGTATAGAATTATAGTAATAAAAATGACATCAGTCAAACAGCTGAACTAATCATAAACGATTTCGTTTATGGCCCCTTGTACGTCAGCAGTAGAATTGCCAGCATGTCGTAACCATAGCACAGCTCTTAATTTCTTAAAATTMAATTTCTTCTCCGGTCAAAAAAGGCCTGATCAGTAATAATAAGAAATGATTGATTGCAAAGGTTTCGGCAGTGATGATTCCCTAAAGGTTTTTTTTTTTAATTTCCCACTAGGCCTTAAACCAAAACCCGCGCTCATTACATTTTAACTGGTTTAGAGTGTCACAGCATRGAACCAGACAGAATTCTTAGGCGAAAAAGTAAATCTAAATTGGCTTATAGCAAGACCAAGCTGTTTTTCATCATCGTCCATTAATTTTTTACGTGGTTGGCTGAAAATTGACTTTGAACGCCGTGACTTAATTAGTTCTTGTCACGCATCCAACTGCACGTTTAGTTTGTGTTTTGAGGGTTTGTTTTTTTTTTTTGTTTTTGTTTGTAGTTTTGTTGTTTTCGGGGCTGGGTTTTTTTTCAGCTAACAAGCGAAAAGCAAATTATAACATCTAAATTTTGTAATCATAATCTTTGACCAGTACACTAATTTAGTTTTAAGCTAGATAAAGATGGACTAGACATCATTAGCACCTTTAATTTCTATGTATTATTTTGATCWGCACAATGCATATGTTTTATTTTTTTAAGTTAACAAACTCAAAATTAACAAAAAAAAACTCTCATTACTATCCGGTGTTAATCAGTATTTTATGACACTTTTCTTCCAAGACAAAACTGACTTATTTTCGTGATATGAGGACTGTTTATGTAGTGTCTGCGGCAATAGTTCATTCATTCTACGAAAAATAAACTAAATGTACATTGGTGTTTGTTTAGTTCAAGTTTTCGGGAGTTTTGTTTTCTTAAAAATAAATTAACTTGTCAATTATRGTGACTGTCACAGCCAGAGARAGTTGGATYAGCGAWGTTTGTCTATTTACSCAAATTCACCYACTTAYAAATAGACTGCTGTMTTGGAGGGCAGCTGTGTTTRAAAGYTGTCYCATKMTAATGAAACATGAGCWACAACATGCACTCCAATGACAAATCTTTGGAACAATCCGGCTCAAAAGCGCTCTTTTCGAACGGTTGAAAGGTTTTTTTCTATGGCAAAATTAAACTAAACAACACTGAAACGCCTTAATTTCAGTGTGCTCCTGTTACAGTGTTTGTCCAGGAAGCAGTGTTGTCAGACTTTGCACATCAAATAGTCAGCGTACTTTGTTAAGTAAATATATTACAAACTTTAAATCTGACAATAATCCAGTTTCGAATTCTCKAATGCTCTTTGTTGACCTCATATGCACGCAAAATATTCCTAATTGTGAGAATAAAAGTATGAGATTTCAAATCAATTCTATTGTCTTCTTTTCAAATTCCATGCGTTTTCTTGAGGCTAACACAGAGCAAACAGAGCAAACCAGAACTCGAAATTGGAGTATTGCTCGTTTTCAACCATTCCCAGGCCTCAAAAGATAAAAGACCGGCGGCCATGTTGGAGGAATGAACAATAGATACTAATGAGAAATCCRTTGTTYAAGTTCAWCCAAGATGGCCGCTGTGACGTATAGTGAAAACGAAGAATTTAGGGTAACGTATGTCAAGACATTCTAGGGTCGAGCACGGCCTAAAAATCTCATTTTTAATTAGTGCCATGTTAAAAAGAATACACTCTCTCATTTTGGTGCCATGCTGCGTAGCAAACAGCTGCAATGGACCGAGAACTGATCCCTGCGGAACATCATTTGATCAATGGTCTTCAAAACAGATTGCTGCGGCAAAATATCATCGAAAAATTGATATGAATATCCGCATGAGGCCAACACTAACACTAGCGTAAAATCAGAAAACGTATTATTCGACTACTCTTAATCAGCTGGAAAAAGAACATTTCCGTTCCCTTTCTATAAGAAAGCTTTCTGGATGTTTTTCAATAGACGGTACCATTTGCACAAAATTGACTTCAAAGCTCCCGTAATATTTAACATAAGTTTTTAAACTTAAAAGTTTCCTTTAAAGCAAGGAAATCAGCTGGAAACCATTGCATATACCAAAGCGCCGACTTTGTTGTAATCCATTAAGTTGRTGAAGAGAAGTTTCCCTTTTATCCAATGTGTTAAAAGCCTTTTGGGCTATAAAAAGGGAGTTTGTATTAAACAGTTCATAGTTTYCAACATCTCCTCCGCGATGAATACTTCAAACATAACCACAATMTACAACAACCACTGCAGCATCAARGATCCAGGAAAAGTCATTTTTAAAAGGACTATCTTAGTTCTGAGCAAGATATTCTGTAGTGTTGGGCTTTTCGGCAACGCCTTTATAATTTTTGTGGCTCTGAAACTTAGGATCAGACGAAACACACATTATTGGATCATCTATATGGCCACTATTGACTGTTTTCTCATTTCTTTGGTTTTAGCGAGAACAGTTCTCGATGGCTCCTWCTTGAATAGTATTACAGTTKAACTGTTCCYATGCAAYGCACTACCCTATCTCTTAACAGTTCTGACATCAATAACGATCACGGCTCTTCTCYTCATTAGCAMRGAGAGATTCAAGTCYACGCGGCCGTCATTGAATCCGATAAGAGTCTATTCCCTCAAGCGACGCATAACCCTTTTCCTCGGRATATTCATTTTCTCGGCAGCTTTTTCGTCCTATATGTTGATACTTTTAAAGCTCGATGATAAAGGCAGATGTTATGACTCSCAGACACTTCTCCTTTCCTTGTGGGCAACTTTTGAAGARTTCTTCGTATTTGTATCAGTCTTGATTATTTTTGTTTCCAGTACACTGACACTTCGAAGYTTGATAAGACCGCAAATCGTTGATAGCAGTATTCCTGTACAAAATCGCTCCAACAGAAGATCCAATAGACTCATCAATGTGGTGAAAATGGTTCTTTACTCATTGATGTTGTATTTCTGGTGTAACCTTCCCTCCCGTATTTTTAACGTTATTTTAACMTTTTCTTTGTATAATGTTATCTCATTTTCAAGCATWYTTTCACCCTGTGTTGACTGGGAATTGTTAACTTTTGTATTATTTGAGTTTCTTCCTCTTCTTAATTCTGCATTTAGTCCCTTTATCTATATAGTCTTTCTTACTGACTTCAGAAAGAGGGCKAAAATGCTGTTTCGGAAGAATCAAATCCAACCAGGGGAATAAAGTAAACTATYAGTGCTACTGTCAATTACATACAATAGTACAGTCACCATATAGTGTGAATTGTATTGTATTTAGGTTGGGCATTGTCAATTAAAGTGCCCATGCACACTGGCCAAATATTGTTTTGATTTGAATTTTAAGTCCTCAATAACAATRTTTCGTAGTATGAAAGTCACCAAATAAAAATTCTTGATTTTACAGCGATTCGAAATTCGTTTGGGCATCCTGTGCAAAAAGGCTGAGAAAAAGCTGAGCTTTTTGGGGGAGGCTTGGTGACGYCTATGATGACGTAGTGTCCAGGACGCATTTTCATGTTTGATAGAGAAGACTATGATGGCTCATGTCAAACAGTTGAATCTCGGCAAAAAATAGTTATACCCTTCTTTATTACACTCAAAGCTCTCTGATGTTGGTTTGTTGACACTTGTTGACATTTCGGTTGTTCCGGACACTACATCATCAAAACACTAGTGCTAATCCCCCACATCAATCGTTTTTGAAGCACTTTGAGAGCTCATAAAAACTTTGAGAGCTCATAAAATAATTGATTTCGTCAAACCTTCACTTTTTTTCAACAGATACATCATTTAGTATATCTATTTTTAATATATATTTGATTTGGCTATGGGGTGAATAGACACTTTTATGTTTGTATCCTATGAATATACAGCCATTTGCGAAAGATAGAGCGGATTTCGTATGAGTGGGACATCGTTACCGCACGGTRARCGCACAGTTACCGGACCTGGCCTGCACAATTTTGGTGAACCAATGGGGCACTAGAATTTGGTTACAGTACGATTACGGTCACAGTACAGTACCGCCTTTTTCCCACTCATACGAAATCCGCTCTATGACAGCTAACAGGCACTTACCTAATAATCAATGGGGCTGGAAAATTCTCTGTAGATATATGATAAATTAAAGGCTTAAATATGTATGCTCTTATTAATCCTATATACTTGGTACCTCAACTGGGAATAATATATGGATAATTATATAATTAGTAGGTTAGAGGACCACATAATGTCCATTAAGAAATAAGTAGACAGTCTTCTTTGAATAATTAAGAAAAATAGCTTTAAACTATTTTCTGCACATCTAAAGAGTTAATATAAAYCTGTACTACTTGAAAACAATGCATATTATTTGGTCATCCAAGGAAGGTCATGCGTGTAGACTGAGTTGACAGCTGTTATGCAAATCACTTSATATATGATCTGTTGAGAAGAGTTCATAATTTAATGGCAATGATGCTACTAATACTATTGGTKTCTGTGTTCTTCGCTGTGGCCAKCTCTGATTCTGAAAGAGATGAGTTCCTGTACGGAAAATTTCCTGACGATTTTGTATTTGGAGCTTCTACATCGGCTTACCAAATCGAAGGAGGCTGGAARGCTGACGGCAAAGGCCCAAGTATTTACGATGAAATGGTCCATACGCTTCCATACCTTTTCAAAAACCAGACCGGTGATATTGCCGACGATAGTTATCATAAATACAAGGAGGATGTGAGGATTCTCAAGGATTATGGAGCCAAAGTTTACCGGTTTTCAATAGCATGGAGCCGTGTTCTTCCTAATGGTACCACCGATGTCATCAACCAAGCCGGCATCGATTACTACAATAAACTTTTGGATGAACTTATTGAGAATAACATTGAGCCAATAGTGACTCTTTARCACTGGGACCTMCCACTWGCATTTAGWCCAATTGGTGGYTGGCTGAACAGGTCTATGATTGGCTACTTCAACGACTACGCGAAGGTTTGCTTCAAGAACTTTGGCACGAAAGTCAAGAAATGGCTSACGCTAAACGAACCACTCGTTGTGATGGAAAGGCATGRTTTTTACATGAAAGGCTTSATCAAAAACAAAACAGAACTCTCTATACTCCAATACCAGACCATGCATCATTTGATTCTTGGACATGCCACAGCTTACCAGACATATGTGAATGAGTTTAAAGSAAAGCAAAAAGGCGAAGTTTCCATTGCGATAAGTAGCACWTGGGGTGAACCKAAGACACAAAACAAACAAGACCTTGACGCTGCTGAGAGATATATGCAATTTACTCTTGGTATATTCGCCCATCCAATATTCCTCAATGGTGACTATCCTGAGATTGTAAAGGATATTGTAGCGAACAAAAGCAAAGSTGTAGGAATCCCAAACCGTTTGCCAAAATTCACCGAAGAAGAGAAAAAAATTGTCAAGGGAAGCGCTGATTACTTTGGTCTGAACAACTACGAGTCYGTACTCGTTGAGAACCATGTCTATCCGGTTGGTGACTCGTCAACACAAGAATATCGCAGGGATGGCAACTATAAGACAAGTTATGATGATTCATGGGAGATAGCTGGGGCTTATAATTTCAGGGTTGTTCCCTGGGGCATGCGAAGGCTGCTTGCTTATATCAAAAASAACTATAAAAACCCTGTTGTATACATAACTGAAAATGGATGTATGGTTCCCGGAGAGTACGAGATGTCCCTAATCTGGCGCATTAACGACGTGTTCCGCATAAYCTTCTATAGGCGTTACATCAATGAAGTGCTCAAGGCCATTGTTAAGGATGGCGTCAACGTTAAAGGGTACATGGCGTGGACTTTGATGGATAACTTTGAGTGGCAGCAAGGATATCATGCTACGTTTGGRCTTCACTATGTGAACTTTTCAGATCCACAGCGCACTCGTGTTCCTAAGAGGTCCGTTTCCTTCTTTAAAGGGCTCATTAAAAACGGTGGCTTTCTTTCATCCACAGCTATGGGACTGCACGCATTTAGTTGGCCTTTGATACTTGGTGTACTATTTGGAGCCTTATTCTTTTTTAACTGATGTTTTCGAAGAAAGATGTTTTGTGTAGATAAATTAAACATAAACGATTAATCATAACAATTATAACAATGAGGGATATACATCATACAATTATGTTCATGAAGAAGGAAAAATAAGAGATGAAGCATATATMACTTCTTAGCTGGGTTTATCAGTGTATGTTATCAGAATTTAATTCGCTCCCTGATTTGCATTAAATCCAAAAGTGATTGTTCTAGTTGTATATTTGCATGTGATATCTGTTCAARTTATAGAAATACCACAAATTTTAATAATACTTCCGACTCCCCTTTAGTTATTGATTGAGTTTTAGACACCCGAAGCCTATCTAAAGCCCTCACTCGTCATCATTATCATCGTAATTATCTAGTGAGTCCAAAGAACTCTTCTACCTTTTATTTTCATAAATCTATTTGCAAGTTAACCAATCTCGGGTTATAGTCATCTATCGTAATGGAACCATTACTGATACTMCCATCATTCTCGTCTAGTCTCTCGCTAAATCTTCTCATGTACAACTCTTCGCGTATATGTTCTGTTCTGTGGGTCTTTTCAACTGATTTGCTTTCTTCTTTTCGGTGAAATATCTTACTTGTAATATGAGCGATTATAAGAAGGACAAGCTCAACGAATTCTGCTGCTGTGAGGCAGGATATTCCTATCCATAGTCCAAGCTGGCCACCAATGTCTGATATGAAATTSGTTACCTAAATGACCAATTGACCAATATGTACTCAATTCATGACTTTCAAAAATGGCGCGATACGGTTGCCAAGAGCAGGGCACTTGGGACGAATCACTCAAACGAGTCTCAAAGGCAAGCCTCCGATGGTGTCTTGCAAGAGTGTATTGTCATATAAATAATATACAAATACATCTTTCAAACATTGGCAATGGCATACTTGCGATCTTCGTGATGTTTTTAGATGTCAGGCCTTTGAGGTCTAGTTTCAATGATTTGTCACTATTCCCCCYATATTGGCGGTCGTGGTCGTGAACTACCGCAATTTTTGAAAGTCGTATATRGAGGAAACTTTCCAGATATTCATTTGACCTTTACGTAGATGCTTTGAAAGTTGTTCTACCCTTTGAGCTATGATATCAGGTGAAATGTTGATGAACAAAGCAATATTAATGGCCCAATGAGATTAATATCAAGCGAAAACGGAGACATATTTCGGACGCAATTCCGGATCGATGTTTTTGACTGAGAGGAAGTCGCTCACGTTACCTCATACGACAGGTACTCTTCTATGATTTCAAGGTTTAGCTCCTCGTAGAATAACTGGAACTTCACAAAATATGCCCTGTGAWTAGAAGATTGGACATAAAATCTTTCTAATCAATTATTTTCCAACGGGGCTTGGCTCTTGTAGTCTACTCGCAGCCGTGTTTAGTTTCGGTCACGCGTCACGTAACCTATCTCTGTGTGGAGAGGTTGRGTGACCGAAACTWAGCACGGCTGCGAGGAGACTATGGCTCTTGTGGACAGAGGAAACTTGAGGAAAGATATTATAAAGGTAACTTTAAATAATCTAAGTTTATCAGGTATAAGAACAAGTGATTGGTCTAGCCTTGCCTTGGATTTTCTCCTTCTTCTAAAATAACTCCTCTTTCTTCGCTGAGTTTCTCGGTTAGTTGGCTCTAACAATAAAGGTAATATTTCAGCGTGAATGTGTACTTTGTTCAGGTACGGTGGGATTTGTGGCTGATATAAGCACATACGGTGAATGAACTTGCTTAGTCATAAGAAATGGTCAAGTWACATACCTGGTAATTTTCAGAAGGCCATCTTGAAGATGATATCGTCAACTTGTAGATATCTTCCCTGAAGTTTGCAAAACAAGTTAAAGAGAATATGAATACATTCAACAMCACCAATATTATTGCATAATGCTTATAAAATCGATCCTCTTTAATGCTATATTGTGATGGTCGGCGCACTGAAAAAAAAAATATCATGATGAAAATACGGAACTTTCAGTGTTTATCTGTACATTCTGTCATTCATCTTCTTCGCCTCTCATCTTTCACTGCATGCCTTGAGCTTCTCCTTCTTTGATTTCATACCATTTCCAGATGAGAGTAGTCTCCATCATGGTTCCCTGTGCCATCTTAAAAGGTAGCAGTCCCTTTGCATCAAATCTATGACGCTGGGAACCATGAAGGGGACGAAGGAGACATAAATAAAGTTGTTTATCACTTTTCGGGGTTGGTACCTTCCACCAACATTCCCCTTAATTCAATATACGCTAGTTCGATATAATTTCATAGTTCTTCTTCCCAGTTCTTCTGAGTTTTATTTCTATTTATAGTGCTGTGTACACGTAAAGCGCTTTATATCCTGAATACACTTACGTGCAAGGTGGACGACACTTGGCGGAACATCCGAGTTTATTCTCTTGATAAAGCATTTGTAGGTCATTTAAACATTTTACTGTAAGTCAGAAGAGGTCAACAACACGTTTACTCAGCAAATTATACAAATATAAGATGTCATAAATAATCATTTTTTGGAATAGTCCAGAGAAATATGGAAAAAAAACTATAACCTATAACTTACTGACTGACAGGTCAAAAATATCGCAGATCGYTTTTCCTTGGCTAGGGAATCTGTACTCGAGGCATCCACATGACTGTAGCTGATGGTAGGCAAGGCAGGAGTCCTTYCAAGTCTGACATACAGAACAATATATAAACATTTTGTGAAAACCTTCAAATTGCAATTAAATTTGAAKTTACCAGTCTTTCGCTGTCATTTCATACCAAAGTAATCCCCCATAAAAAAAGACACTTACCGTTGGTGAGTAAGACACGTTATAGCGAATCCTGTACAAGTTTTCTGGGTCAATATCGTCATCCTTAAGACAGCTTTTGTTTTGAAAAGGATCTTCACGAATGATTTTAGTCTGAAACAGAGTTAAGATCGAAAAATTATCTATACATCGTTTTCTTGAGTAACATATAGGACCTCGATATGAACCCTTCCCCCTCAAATTTCAATTGATTTATAGCACATTGTCAGCTGAAGTCACTCATTCAAATCACTTCGCCTAAACATTATACATACTACCCTATACCTGTCTCATTCCTGCAGACGTTGAGTAGCCAGGTGATATACTAAATCCTTTCTCAAGTGGTGCTGGGAATTCACCTTGTTTGGATATCAAAATGCGCATGCCTGCTTCTTGTGTCAGCTGACCAACATACTCGTGTTGTTCTYCATTCATCTCTAATATCAAACCTATGTGAGTAAAATTAGAATAAAACAATCTATTCCGCTTACATTATTGAATATATTCATGACGGTTGCGCCATTAATGTGGAGACGAACTGGAAGACTAGTGGTTTCATCAGAAACAAATTCATTACTGAGACATAGTGATTGCAATTTTCGGTGAACATTGTGCGCAACAAAGCATGAAAGGAAGTAGACATCGCASTTTRATGTGTGTGACAGTTTTCAAAGCATTAAAATMTGATATAATTCAAATTGATATAACAGCAAAACTATTAGCTTTAGATAGTTACCATTGCTTGGTCCCGGCTTGTTGGATTTTAAGATCGTTTGCTCCTGACCCAGGGAGTCCTTACCAGAATTGAAAARATAGCAGTTTCCGTATTTGTAATGCCAGAAATGGCTCCACAGTTTTTCAGTATAGTTTCTAGATAGTCAAGCAATGAATCAATTAATAATTAGTAGACTCAAATGAATAAATCGATAAAAATATGTCTATAGTTGAGGCCAGTAAAATATGGAAGCGATATTTCTCCCATTT